TTCACTAAAGAATCCTCTCTTTCTTTGCATCCCCCCAGTTTCTAAAACTGGTGCAATACTGCATATTAGGAGTTACTCTGTAAATATTTGATGACTTGATTCTGTTTGATACTTGCCTCTTTTCTATGATTAGGTGTTTTTCTGACTTACAAGTTCATTGCCCACTGCCAAGCAAGGTACTAGGCTAAAAATTAAATGTTTCTTCATAGCCCGGAAATATTCAGCAATGCATAGTTCTCTATAGTGAACATCTATTATGAATGGTTTTAATGATTTACCATCCTAGTAACATATAAATAAAATGAAGCAGAGATGTTAGATATATTTCCTCTGTTATCATGTATAAGAGCGAGTAGAATCTCAGAGAAATATGTATTAAATGCTCCGTAAATGGCCTATTCCCAAATATCCGTATTATGAGTTTTGATGTCTACCAGGTTTACTAAAGAGCATTTTAATTAGGAAATATGAGATTTGGTTATAAAATTGATAATGCTGGGGATCGTTTTTTTAAAAGACAACCAACCAAACAACATTATATAAAGACAAGAGACAGGCCTTTCCATTTGCCATTTAAAACATAGATTCCAGTAACAGTAGCTTACCTTATTGTGTACTTATTCTGTGCTAGGGCTATGCATTCATCATTTCACTTAATGAACCCCCCATGAGGGATCCTTTAAAGAAAGTACTATGTATTACTTATTCCTGTTTTGCTATTGAAAAAGTTAGTAGAACTTTCTGCATTGACGGAAATGTCCTATATCTGCACTATTCATTTTGGCAGTCATTATCCCCCTGAAGTTATCAACTACTTGAAATATGACTATTCTAACTAAAGAACTAAATTTTTAATTTAATTGTAATTAAATTAAAATAGCACCATGAGGCTAGTGGCTATTGTATTGGACAGCACAGCTCTAGAATTTTCCTAAAATGGTCTTGATCACTACACCATACCTCTCCAGTTCAACTCTCCAAACCAAAGTACATAATAAGAAACGAAGTAATTAGGAAATATTAGCATTGTAAATTGCACGGAGTCATAGTATTAAAAGCAGTCTGATTAGCCAGGGATAGAGATGTGATCTCTGTCCCATGGAAACCTAAAAGATTCTTGCTCTCTTATACCCAGCAAAGAGGCAGCCACACAGCAGTAGACATTTGTCTAAAATTCTTAATTCTGTTATCTTTTTTTTCTGTGAAATTACCCTCATTCATATTGTAGCATCATTCTCCTTTTATACCCTTAGTCCTTGAGCTCACTGATGCCCTAAGAGTAAAGGTAGGCAAGAATTCCCATTTCTCTGTGAGTGGTTTGCCAGCACTCTGAATGCTTCCTGATCTGGCTTTGTAACTGGCTGCCTATGTGTCTTTGGTTGATTACTTTGTCCATCTTGGGCCTCAGATTTTCTCATCTCAAAATAAGGGAATTGAATTAAATGTATAGGTTCCTCCTAGATGTAAAAATTCCATATATAATTTTTCTAATGGCCAAGATCCTATAACTGTATGGAGATGCAGTAGTTTTCTTAGTAAATTTCTGTATTATTAAAATTATATATGTAAACCTCCAAATTTCTTAAAAACAAAACAAGATATGCTAGAAAGCTGTGCAGCTCTTCAAGTCTTTCGAATAGCTCTGTTTCTCCCTCTTTCATGCTCCTTTTGTGAATGGGTGGCTTCACTTTTCCATAGGATACAAATCAGAAGCCTGCATTCCTTATGATCCTTCATTTGTAGCAGTGGATGGAAGTGATTTCTATACCCAGAAATCTCAGTAAATTAATTGTCGCATTGAAATAATATGTTTATTTAACATGTGATGGCAGTGGAAGCCTTGAAAGCAAATTACAAAGTTTGAGATGTATTTTAGAAACATAAGTTATTGTTTGTTAATATGCATACATATAAATGATTTTGATGTTTTACCTTTATGCTCATTTTAAAAATAACAAATATTCCATTAAGTTCAACTAGTTCATTTAAAGGCAAAGAAATTCAGTTGACACATGTTTGAAGTAAAGTATCTATTGTGTAAAGCAATGTTTTGAACCTGTAAATTTATCACATGATCTGTATAATTTATCTGTCTCTCCCTGAAGTGCACACCACTGCTTTTCAACCTGTAACACGTGTTCGAATCACCTGTAGGGCTTTCAAAGAGTTTCAAAGTATTTGAATTAAATATTAGACCTAGTGAATCAGTCTTAGGGAATGAGGCTCTGAACGCAGATGCTGAAAGGCTCCCTGGGTTATTCTTATTCATTCCAGAAGTTAAAGAACCAAACACCCTGAAAGTTCTTGACAAGAAAAGAGATGGCCTATTTATTAATTGGGCTTATATACCAACATCAAAACTAGCCTTATAATCATATTATAAATTTCTGTTGTTCTTTCAGAAGTTAACATTGATTAGCATTTATGTTTGGATGATGGCAATTCATCACTCAAAAACATTCAACTAACTCACTGTCTTGCCATTACTAAGAATTTAATGTAAAAAATGTGATACAGAGGTGTCTGGGTGGCTTAGTCAGTTAAAGGTCAGCCTGATCCCAGGGTCCTGGGATCAAGCCCTGCATAGGGCTCCCTGCTCAGCAGGGAGCCTGCTTCTTTTTCTCCCCCCCCCCACTCATGCTGTCTCTCTCAAATAAATAAAATCTTTTTAAAAACGTGATACAATATATAGGAACCCTAAGAAAGAAGTACTTGATTTCTTTACTTAATCTTGTTCTTAAAAGAATTTGTGGTTTATGAAAATTAAATGTTCTAATTTTCTTTCATTCTTAGATCAGTAAAACTCTTATAATCATTTGTTAGTATTTTGACAATATAAAACTTCATTTTATTGAAAAATGTTTTAAATCTTCAAATTGTTATTCACCAAAGTTACCATCATCTGTTATTGCTCATGTTATGTTTTCTCCTAGATTTTAAAATAATTTTTAATTTCATTCATTTATATAAGCAACATATAATTACACATTACTCAATATATTTTTATGATAATTATCTTAAATGTAAATTTGAGTATATTTTCCTGGATTTTCCAAGTCATTACACCAATAATATTCATAGTGTATGACACATGCATTCTAGATAATATATATTTTGCTTCTATTATTATTATTATTGACAGTTATCCTCCAGGAACATTTTTTAAGACCCATATTTGTATGTGTTAAAAATGCATTGGGCTGGGAGAATTTAGGTAGAGACACTGCTGAGAAAGAAAGCGTGGGGCTCCTGGGTGGCTCAGTCGGTTAAGTGTCTGCCTTCGGCTCAAGTCATGATCCTGGGGTTCTGGGATCGAGCCCCACATAGGGCTCCCTGCTCCGTGGGAAGCCTGCTTCTCCTTCTCCCACTCCCCCGCTTGTGTTCCCTCTCTTCGCTGTGTCTCTCTCTGTCAAATAAATAAATAAAATCCTAAAAAAAAAAAAGCTTGTAATTAAAAAAAAAAGCATGAGAAAGGAACACCTGCTCTTAGCCACGTTAGCCTGGAGGTGACGTAGTTCATTTCCATTATAAGACCTCACCTGTCTTTGAGAGAGTCTGGGAAATGCTGCCTAGGTATATTCTCCAAAGAAAAAGAGAAAGGGTTTTAAAGGTGAACACATAGTGATCTCTGTGACAGGCCTGTCTCTGTCATGAACAAACTGTAGGACTCTTGGCAAGGCACCTAATCTCCTAGGCTTTAGTTCTCTTGACTCTAAAGATCCAGTGACTTTTTCTTTTTTGGGAAGGTTATTAGATGTTTATATTAAGAATATTGTCTTAAGATACAGTGAGGATTGAATCAATAAAGTATTTGTCAGAATCATAATCCCTAAAAGTAAATGTGACAAGAATTGAGAACTAAGTTATGGCATTGTTGGTAGTTAATTGCACAGCCAATGGATGTTGATTACAAGTGATCCTGGGGGGTGCAGGGAGGGGTGGACTTAGGACTTAGTTCTGAGTAGTAACCTTTTCATTTTTTCACCATTTCCATCAGTAAATCATAAGAAAACAAAGAACTCATACTTTTCAAATTCTAATTTGGAAATTGCAAATAATTTCTAGATACCTAGGTTAGGTCATCACATTTCTTTTATCTATAAATAAGTTATAGGTCATCTGGGCTTTTGAAGACTGACTAGAGAATCAAATGAATAATTTATAACATTGTTTTTATGACCGTGTACAGTTGACCCTTGAACAATGCGGGAATTAGGGATACCAGACCCCATGCTCAAAAATCCACATATAACTTTTGACTCCCCCAAACTTAACTAGTAATAGCCTGCTCTTGACTGCAAACCTTACAAATAACATAAACGGTCAATTAACACATTTTGTATGTTATATGTATTATATACTATATTCTTACAAAAAAGTAAGGTAGAATAAAGAAAATGTTATAAATACTAATATGAGGAAGAAAAAATACATTTTTAATACTGCATTATGTTTATTGTAAAACATCTGCGTATTAAGGGGACCCCCAAATTCAAGCGCATGTTGGTCAAAGGTCAACTGTGTTTAATATTCCAAATAGTTATCCTGTAAATGAACTGTGGACTGTAACCCATTTTTAAGTAAAGGATGGCTTGGATTTTTGTCTCTAAAATAGTTTAATTGCCTTCCTGCTTTCAAAGAATGATCTCATATACCCTTAAATATAATGTTAAGAGATATACTATCATTATGAATATAGCTTGGCTCTTTTTCAAGAGAGAAATTATGTTGACTGGCAAAAAGATCTCAAAAACAGACACTGCAAACAATATATATAGTTATTAACTACCAGATGTCACATTCACTCACAGTATTTACAAGACGTATGATTTGAGCCATCATTGAATTTAAAAGACAAAAATGATGAATGACTACACGTTACTATTGACTGGTAGCAGTGATGACTTCTATTACATTTAAAGGTTTTTAAAGGACTTGATAGAAAAGATCTTTTCAATGTGATAGTAATATTTCAAAAGGCATGTTCTCTTTCTTGTCAGGACTTCCAACAGTAGTGAGACGTTATCATCCTGCCATACTATGGAGCCATGTTCATCAGATGAATTTTTCCAAGCCCTTAATCATGCTGAGCAAACATTTAAAAAGATGGAAAACTATTTAAGACACAAACAGTTATGTGATGTAATTCTAGTTGCTGGTGATCGCAGAATTCCGGCTCATAGGTAATTGTTTTCTAAATCTCTGTATGTGAGAAGTATTTCCTTACTAATCTGTTATGTATGTTGAGATAATTTGTTCCAACTAACTATTCCATATGCTTTTGGGAGGGGGTATCTTTCATGGGATTTCTGCAAAGAAAACAGTGCATGTGAAATTATTATACATTAAATGACCCCAAAAGGGTCACTTTCCCTCGGCAGAAACACAAAAACAAAACACACTAGCCTCAGATCAGTCAGTATTGTTTGGCAAAGATTTCAGCTACTACGAGCAGCTTTTCTCCTAAATTCTACCTATTAAATAAGTAAACTCGACAGTAATTAGAGCTGTGAGTATTTAGAAGCAAAAAAGCTAGTGGAATGAAATGGCAAAAACTGAAGAGTCTTAAAATAGCGACATCTATCCCAACTTCTATTTGCTGACCTCCAAAAAATAGGAAAAGCAGTGATGTTAGGGAACAAAAACTTTTAACACAAATGAAGTACTATTTTTTGAAATGAGAAAAGAGAGATGTTTAATAAAGAACAATTCATTATGTTTCCTTTGATAATTCTGTGTTCAGTTGTTCTGTGTTAATCACTATTATGACCCCAAAAGGTTTGTTTTGTTTTTTTTTTAATGCTTTTAAAAACTAATTAACACTCCGTCCCAAAGGTTTTCTTAAACGTTCCAAAGTGGAAGTGAAATCATTGGGAAAAATGGGCTTGGTCTTAGTTTCCAATGTTTCAATGGGCATACATTTATTGAGATGCTACTAGATACTGTGACAAAAAGTCCGTGTTATGAGCATGGGTTTACTGGAAAAGATACCTCAACCTGCATGTCACAGAGACATCTGAAATTCTGTTTTTCCAACACAGAGCTCATTACCTTCTCTTCCATTTATGTGTAAACTCACCGTCTCCCTCAGTGCCAGAAACTGCCAACTGGTCTCCCTGCTTTCACTCTTTCCCCCTACATTCTATTTGCTGCACAGCTACCCGAGTGATCCTTTAAAATAGAACTCAGATCCAGTCACTCCTGTGATCTAACTTTTCAGTGACTCCTGTCACAAGTTATGAAAGCCCACTGGGCCGTGTGATGGCCATTGCCATCTGATGTTCTGTCCTTGATCCCTCTGCTTGAGCCACTCAGCCCGTGTGGTCCTTGTATGTGCCAGACATGCTGCTCCTGCCTTTGGGTTTTTGCATTGGCTAAAACCTGCTAAACCTGCTAAAACCATTCCTTCTGCCCGAATGCTGTTCCCAGATACCTGTATGACTAATTCCTGCACCTCCTTCAAGTCTTTGCCCAATCGCCACTTTCCAGTCAGACCACTTATTTAAACCCCCTGTCTATTCCTCATTTGCCCTTATCCTACTTTTTCCCCTTAGCACTTCCCTTTCTTAATGTACTCTAGAATTTATTTGTGCTGTTAATTATTCATCTCCCTCCCCTCTAGAATGTAAGACTCCCTTAGAGAAGGGATCTTTTGTCTCTTATTTATACTGATGATAGCTCAAGTACCTAGAACAGTGCCCTGTCCTTACTAGGGTGAATGTCTTTAATGAGTAAATGAATAAATGGGCAATTCTCAGAAGAAACCTGAATGGCCAATAACCATTTAAAAAGATCTTCAGTCTCGCTAGCAATCAGGGAAATGAAAATTAAAACAACAATGAGATGCCATTTAACACCTTGCAGATGGCGAAAAATTTTAACATCTGACAATGTTGTGGGAAAATGTTCTCTCTCACACAGTGCTGGTGGGGGGTCTAAATTGGCACAGCACTTCGGAGAGCAGCCTGGCAAACCTAGGACACGGCAGTGTGCTCCCGAGGAGGGCGGAGAATGGAAGTAGAGAGGAACACAGAGAGAGCTTCAACGATTATCGGTTTCTATTTCTTAAAATAAATAAATAAATAAAGTGAATCTATATAAATGTGCTGACATGGAAAGATCTCCAAGACGTCAAATAAAAAAAAAAAATGCACATTTCAAAATATATATTTATAACCTATTTTTTTTCATATCTGGCCATCAAAAATCTGGTCAGAGATGTACCTAATATATAATACTGTACTATTATAAAAATAGTTTTGTGGTGTTATAACAAAAATATTATCATTTGGTAATAAAATGTGAACATTATAATAATAAATCACAAAAGTTAAGAACAACCTGCTAAAACCATTCTCAAATTTCTCCCATATATCTACTACTACTACAATTAAATTAAAAGAAAAAAACACTTAGGTTATTTCCAAAAGTGATAAACAGAAAGTAACCTTTATATTTTTTTTTCCTTTTTTTATATAGTCAGTTTAATGCTGTGGGCTTTAGCTTTTTGTCTGGATGTTATAAAGTGATATTTGAGTAATGAATGGGTAAATCATTTACCTCAGCAGAAAATTTTCAGTAATGGTAATTTATTATTCCAAGGAAAGAACTAGAGCATAAAGCAATTTGTCAAACTTAAAATGCATTTCCCGGTACCACGCACTTTTTGTGGGTAACAAATTAAAAAAAAAAAGGGAGAGAGAGAGGGGAGAGAGAGAAGCAGCGTTTGTTAATGAACATCAACCTTAAGGTGGTCACTGATTTTTTTTTTTTTCCCTCTGATATGTTCTCAGGTTGGTGCTCTCCTCGGTCTCAGACTATTTTGCTGCCATGTTTACTAATGATGTCAGGGAAGCAAGACAAGAAGAAATAAAAATGGAAGGTGTTGAACCCAATTCACTATGGTCCTTGATTCAGTACGCATATACAGGTAATAAATCTGAAAATGAATATCTAAAACCTCTTAAAATTATGGTGCATTATGAGATTTCAGATTTCTGCTTTTAGGAAAGCCTGCCACAGCTAACCGTGAATTCTGCTATTGGAATCACCACCGCTGGTGATACCTTTATAAAAGGTTGAAATCTTTATATTAGAATCTTTAAAATGGTGGTCATAATTAAGCCTATGATTGGTATTTTTAAATGTTAATATAATAATTAGATGAATTATATAATGTTTTTAAGTTATTGCATTTAAAATTTGAGCGTTGTATTTAATAGATATGCTACTTAATTAAAGCATCATTTAAAAATTCTGAAAAGAAGCCATTCGTTTTTTATTTTAATAAAAGTCACAAAGAGCTAATAAGGTTTTTTCATAGTTAGTACTTTTTTTCTCTTTGGACTGTCTAAAACCATCCAGAATTCATATACAGAGCTCTTGTTTAGAATTATTACTGTTAGCACTGTTTTATAAGTTAAAGTTAATATAGTTCTATGGTTAATGGAATTTCTTTTTATCATTAAGGCCGCCTTGAATTAAAAGAAGATAATATTGAGTGCCTGCTGTCTACAGCTTGCCTCCTTCAGCTTTCACAGGTTGTGGAAGCTTGCTGTAAGTTTTTAATGAAACAGCTTCACCCATCCAACTGCCTTGGAATCCGTTCTTTTGCTGATGCCCAGGGTTGTACAGATTTGCATAAAGTGGCTCACAATTATACCATGGTATGTATTTTCTGAGAAGCAGAATGCTCTTTACCTCATTCCTTCTTGTTGCAGGTTTATCTCCATGGTGCTGTTTTCCCCTGGCTCTGCCACACGTCTTGAGGTTCAGGTTCACCGTCTACTGCATGATATTTTCATTGAGTTATAAGGGGAAAACACCAAGTAATATTTCTCCTGGATCTATGAGTCAAGCCTGAAGTTATTACAGTCACTAAGAAGCAGAGCAGTGGCCTAGGACTGTTCTAGTCAAGATTTTCAGATCTGCTGCTTTTTAAAGCAGGATTTCCCCGGTGTTTTTCTTTGTAGCACTTGGATGAATTTTCACGGATGGAAATTGGTGACCGTGAGTGGGGGGTATTGGTGCAGTACAGATGATAGGATGAAAGGGAGGCTTTTTATTAAAGGTAAATCTGATTATATGTAAGAAGCGTTTTTAGCTGTGTAGAAAGATCTTATGAATTGTAGCAAATTATGTGCTCAAAATAAATCGCAGAGGAGGTTCTCATTCAGACATCAGAGGATAATGGATACAGACTGATCTAGGACAGCAAGAAAAGAAGGGCATGTTGAAGGCATTTTGTTAGGACCAGGCCCCCCCACCCCCCAGTCTTCATAGTACAGGCATTTGGGGAAGGGAGGATATTTGGATTTTTAAGGAATGATCCTCTTGTCACACTGTGGCAGTTAGGTCTTCACAGCTGGGCAGAGATTGAAGACTGTTACTTTGTATCCTGCAGTTACGGCACTACAGCTCCTAAGAGAAGAAGGAATGTGAACATTCACACACGCTTATGCTAGTTATCCGTATTACTGAGTTTATCAACATGAAGAAGATGTTTTTGTCTACCTTCTCCTCCATCCTTCCACTGAGTTGGTTTGTCTGTGAAGGGATTGACAAATACTTTAGAAATCTTTCACTACAGAAATAGAGATTTTAGAACAATGATAAGAACAGGGGTTTACAGCTATTGGGAGGAATAATTCTACCTACTTCATAAGCTCGGTATGAGGATTAAATGAGTTAATAGGAGTGTAGCACTGAAAATAGTGATTGACACATAGTATACCCAGTCAATAAATGATATCCTCATCATCGTCACCATCATTGTACCATCATTGCTCTATTCAACACATTAGGGATTGATGTGAGTGAACAAAAGCACTCAGACAAAAGTGCAGCCCTTATGATTTGTATTCGCCCCTGTGGTATCATCACTTCTCAGGAATGTTTCTTGTTTATCAGTTAATCAGTCACAGAGATTGTGTGACAAGGCAGTACTATACAGAACTGGCATCTTCTAAATTAAGTCCCATGGAAGATTTTTCCCCACCTCCATCTTTATCTTTCCCTTGCAGATTTCTCATTTTAACCTTAAACCTCACGTTCAAATAATTTTGGGAGTAAGATGACTATAAATAAAATAAAACAGGTTTCTTTTCTTCATAATCAGTTCATCATTTAAGTAATATCTCTTTCCTAGGAAGGAGTTTGATTCACATGAAAACACTTGTATGCATTTAAGTCACTCCTGTTGTTTATAGTAGAGGCACAGTGGCTGCTAAGACATAATGGCTTAGACATAAATTAAACTTAAATTGGCTCTTTTTTTTTAATTAAAGTTGGCGTGCAGTGTTATTTTAGTTTCAGGTGTACAACATAGTGACTCAACAATTCTATACATTATGCAGTGCTTACCATGAGAATTGTAGTTACTTTGTGTCACCATACAGAGTTACTACAATATTATTGATTCAGCTCAATGTTTTTAAAGCTATTTTCACAGCCAATTAGTTGGGTCATTTTTGGGGTTTTTTTTTTCTCAAGGCTATTATTTGACATTATTCAGTTTCAACAGCGAGGTGAAATTTAATTCTAATAACAATAAGTCATTTAGAGGCAGATTGTCTGATTTCAGTTGTTGCTATGGGAACTCAATGAAAATGTATAGCAAAATTCAGTCTTCAATTTAAATAAATCCCTCAGTAATTTCATTTGCTTGGAAACTAATTCCAAATGGGGAAAGGGCATAATGCTAGCAAGTATTTGGTAGCATGATAGCTTTTTATATCACAAAATAGATTTTTTTTAAAGTTTTTATTTTAATGCCAGTTAGTTAACATACAGTGTTATATTAGTTTCAGGTGTACAATATAGTGATTCAACAATTCCATATGTTACCCGGTGCTCATCACAACAACACAAAATAGATTTAAAATCCGAAGTAAGCATAATGCCACATAGTCAATTCAGTTGTCACAATCAGTAAATGGTGCACGTACTTGGAATGTTCACTCATCCTCTATGAATACAGGTAGGAAAGGATGAGGAGTTCCTTCTTGTAATCTGGAAACTTGTTCTCACTCTGACTGACACTCACTGTGACCTGGCATGGGTCCTTTAACCTCTACGAAAAAGTCTGACTAACGCTGGGTGTATCATTACAAATATTTAATGGCATTATGGATTTGTGAAATAAATATAAGCATTTAATTTTAAATTTTTGAATTTTGTTTCTCGACCTAGAAAAAACACTGAATTCTGCTAAAATACCCGCTGTAAAACCAAATATTTTTGAAAAGCACTTTGTGTTTAACCTTGTGTTCAGTAGTCTTTCCATAAGTTGTTGAGAGACTCAATTTTCACTTAAAATGAATTGTACTAGAATGGAATGGGCATGGTTCTGAAATAGAAAATCAATCAATCAATAATAATAATATATATAATCGTCCTTTTCTACTTGATGAGTTAATACCATTGCATTGGTAATGCCATTAATACCATTTGAAAGTAAAGCAGTAGTTATTATGTCAGTATGGTGTAAATGTTGATTGTCCTATACACTACCTTTGAGCAATTAGAAATGTGTATTATTTTTATTTCTTAGAATCTTACCTAACATTATGTAATAAATGTATTTCCATGTATCAATGTGATCTTTGTTTTTGAAATTTTTAATGCCTGCTTAATAGCCCATTGAGTTACAACCCCCTATAGCTGGACCTTTAGGCTAATTCCCATTTTGTACTATTATAAATAATAATATAGAGAAGCATCGTTAGAGAAGCATCAGCTTTTTTTTTTTCCTCTTGTGAATTATTTATTAAGGATTAAACTGCTAGTAGGATAACTGGGTTGAGAGCTTCAACATTTTTATAGCTCTTGCAATGTGTTACCAGATCGTTTTATAATGTCGGTATACAATTGAGTAGAACAGTTTGCTTGAAGCCAACATCGAGGTTTTATTAAAATATATTTCTGAAAATGATAATCAGTCATTTAAAATAGATACATTTGGGCATCTTTAGCACATCATGATGAATTGAAGCAATTGAATTTAGTTAATTATTCATGTATGGTTTCCTGTTAAGAATTTCTAAGGAAGGAATGTCAACCCAAGATATATTTTAGATCAGTACCTAATTTGGGTTACTGCAAGCTCTAGGGAACATATAATTCTCATTTTACTGTAGAAGATAGTTGCTGGTAATCCTTATCTCTAGCTCTAATTTAAATGGCCCTACCTATTTCACTTAAACCGTGTATGCTGAGACAGCCACAACACAGTAGGAAGTATAAGAAAAACATTAAGGGACAATATGCATAGCATTTGCATTTATATTATAGCTGAGTAAACAGTGAATGCATTAAGACTTGTAACCTTGCAAACCAGATAGTAAATTTCCCATCTCTCTGGACTGTTTAGCATAATACCCTACTAAAGATCATTATCTCACAGCTGAAGTCATTTCTGTCTCCCATTTCAAATGATAAGAAGGAGCCTGATTCTAGTATGTGGCTGCAACTGAATTATCTTCAGTCCAAGGTCCTGGAGTCCCGGTGCACTCATTCCATGTCAGTGCTTTTGCTTTGGCTCTTTTTCTTTGAGACCAAAAGAACTTCATACATATATCAGATTCGAAGTTGGTTTTTTTTTCTTTTTTTTAATTACGTTATGTTAATCACCATACATTACATCGTTAGTTTTTGATGTAGTGTTCCATGAATCACTGTTTGCGTATAACACCCAGTGCTCCATGCAGTACGTGCCCTCTTTAATACCTATCACCAGGCTAACCCATTCGAAGTTTTAAAACAGACCTAAAATCCTGGGTGGTCTTATGAATTACATTAAAACACTCTTGAAGGCCAATCAGAGCCAGGATAGCCATAAGGATGTAGTCTTCCCAGAAGTCTGAGAAGACTTCCGTGGTACAGAATGGTCTTGGGAAATCCAGCCAGCCTGACTGACAGCCATTTCTGGGTAAGAGAAATAATTTCACGGCTCACGCAGGTATCTGGCTGCACTGTTAAGCCAAAGTCTTCAGCAACCACAAATGTAACCTAACTTGGATGTTAGACTATCCTGCATCTCAGAGTCTAATTCATTTTTTCTACCCTCTAACTCTCGAAAGACTTGCCAGAACTATTCCCAAACTTGAGTAAAGCAAAACCTAAAAATCCCAGGTCCATTTTTAAAGTGTACCAAATGGTGGAGGCACCTGGGTAGCTCAGTTAAGCAGCCAGTTCTCAATTTCAGCTCAGGTTATGATCTCAGGGTCCTGGTATCGAGCCCCACATCAGGCTCTGTGCTCATCTGCCCCTCGCCCCACCCCCACTCACATGTTCTCTCTCTCTCTCAAATAAACAAATCTCTTAAAAAAATAAAATGTACAAAATGGTAAAATTTAATTCTACTGATATGGAGACTTACAGCGGCACAACATAATGGCAATTTAAATGTTATTTTATACTGTGTTTCTTTCCTAATAAACAGTAATGCTATGGTAAGGAAGGTCTCAAGTATAAACTGTGTTTTGGCATCTAATTCAAATGTGTTTATTTTCTCTTAAACTGATGCACAGAAGGAACAATATTGTTGATGTGCTGCTTTTTCCCCTCTAGGAACATTTCATGGAAGTAATTCGAAACCAGGAATTTGTATTATTACCAGCCAGTGAAATCGCAAAGCTCTTGGCAAGTGATGACATGAACATTCCTAACGAGGAGACAATACTGAATGCACTTCTTACTTGGGTCCGTCATGATCTAGAACAGAGACGGAAAGATCTCAGTAAACTTTTGGCTTATATTAGGCTACCTCTTCTTGCACCACAGGTAAACTGTTTTTGATTATTTAAAATCCGTATCCTAATTTCTTTTTTTTTTTAAGATTTTATTTATTTATTTGAGAGAGAGAGAGTGAGAGAGAGCATGAGAGGGGAGAGGGTCAGAGGGAGAAGCAGACTCCCTGCCGAGCAGGGAGCCCGATGCAGGACTTGATCCAGGGACTCCAGGATCATGACCTGAGCCGAAGGCAGTCGCTTAACCAACTGAGCCACCCAGGCGCCCCCGTATCCTAATTTCAACAACATTTGGGTATTGATTTTTATGCTAATCATGTTAAAATTACGTGAATATAGATTTTTTTCCTTTGGCTCTTCTATCCGACAAGGTTATTTTACATATTTGATGAAATGTGTAGGTGAAAAGATACTTAGCTAAAAAAAATTTCTGCTTGTGTTTTCAACCCAGAAGTTCTCACTACCTAAATTGCATTAATTAAATAACATTGTTGCTTCAGGGTTAATAATTTTATTTGACTCAGTTTACAAACCTATTCTAGCTATTGAAGAATTAGTAAAGCTGCGGATGAAAGTAGCAGTGAATATCAGGAGCCAGAAATTTAGATTAATTCATTTGCTTCGTGTTTATTAAGTATCCACTAAATGCTGGATTCTGGTGATACATAAACTGAGGCATGGTAAGAGTTCCTGCTCTGACATCTTAAAACTCTGTGTCTTGGCATATTCACACACCCCAGTCTTTTAATCTGTCAGGTGGAGATGACATCCTCTTTGACTATCTCACAGGATTATTATAAAGATGAGAAAAGTGCTCTGTAACATCAAATGTGCTACAAATAATCATGGTAGAATTATCAGCATTCTTTTAGAATTGAGAGCTGTCTAGTTAGTGTATTCAAGGCAATCAGTCGGAACACATTGGCACGCGTAGTTTCCCCCTTGTACAGTTCTAACTGGGAGGTATAGCAGTCCCTCCTTATCTGCCGTTTTGCCTTCCACGGTGTCAGTTACCCGCGGTCAGCTGTGGTCAGGAAGCACATGGTCCTCCTGATCTCTTGTCGGAAGGGCAGCAATATCCTTCCACACCTCACAGGGCCTGCGTCACTCACCTCACTTCATCTCATCATGTAGGCGTCTTATTATCTCATCATCACAAGAGGAAGGAAAGCGCGAGAAAGACCACATTCACATAACTTTTATTACAGTTTAATTGTCCTATGTTATTAGTCGCTGTTCTCTTACTGTGCCTAACTTTTAAATATAAACTTGATCATAGGTGTGTATGTATAGAAAAAAAACATAATATATGTAGGGTTCGGTACTATTTGCGGTTTCAGGCATCCACTGAGGGTCTTGGAACATAAAGGAGACTTAATGTACAATAATTTCCTCTGCTGCTTAGCTGGAAGGCTTGAATAGAGAAAGAGGCCTTGAAAGTGAAGAAAGAATGAGCTGTGACTGCTCGAGGGCAGATGTTTGTTGTTCAAGTGCCATAAATTTTATCTTATTTGTATTTATCTTGAGCATTTTGTATTATTTCCAGCGGTTGTTAGCAGAAGCTATTGTTCGCTCTCAACCTTATAGAGACAAGAAGTAGTGCTGATGCTTTATAAGAAAGACGTCCTCTTCAGAGGTAGCATGTTATGTGAATTCATAGACATGAAACTGCACGAATTGATGCCAATTCAGGAAAAATAACGTTGTAAAACGTTTCCCTTGAAATCAGATTTAAAGAAGAAAGTTACATTTTACTGGTACTTAGCAGAAGTTATTTTTCTTATCCTTTTCTAGGTTAAAGAAAATAAAATGTGAAAAATCCTAGTAGACTTTGAAAAGAATCTGTGCGATTAAGTAACCTGACGATTGACTTCAGTCCTGCAGTTTCAAATATTTATGATACTATGTTTGCATGATTCCGAGAGACGTTTAACACTTCTGTTATCCAGGGTACTGCTGATAATCATAACCATAAGATCTTAGAGTTGAAAGGCAATCATTTAGCCTGACACCTATTGTACAAATGAAGTAACAGACCAAAAAAGGAAAACCATATGCTCAAGATCATAAAACGATTGCATAAATTTCTGTCCTTCTGCAGTGTAGTTTTATTTGCCTTTGCTACTTGGCTAACATCATAGAGCTAATAAGAGACAGAGGGAGAACTTGAACCCAAGTTAAGTTCTGTGCCTTTTTCACTGAACCAGTCAGCCCCCTGAACATACTATGTGTAAAACTGCTGGGTCAGGGGAGATATATCACGTGGAGGAAGAAATAGATTAAAAAATAAATATGTAAAAAAATAAATAAATAAAATAAATTTGTGACTACAATATAATGAGAGGAAGGCAATGACAGGTATATGAACATGGCATTATGAAAGTAACTGGAGTAGCCTGCCCGGGCTGATGGTGGGGAATCTGGGAGAACTTTCTCAAGTGTCACTCGGTCTACATCCTGAGTAGTTACCCCGCAGAGGGGGCATGATAGCCCAGGAGAGATAGGGGATTATACCTAGTTATGGTGTCATGAGCAAATGTGTCATGCTCTGGAATTTGAAGAGAGCTCACATGGCTCGAGTGCAGACATAAAAGGGCAGTATGGAGAGACAAAGAATCTCTAGTGATGCCAGGGAGTTTGCATTTTATCCCCAAAGCAGTGAGGAAGCACTAAAGAATTTTAAGCAGGGAATGGCATAATTATCATTTTATTTAGGAAGATCCTCTAACTGCATTGTGGAGATTGGATTGGAGCGATCAAAGTAGAAATCCATTAGGAAGACTATGGGACTCAGACAAGTGAATTAGGTGCTCTCGGGCAGAGCAGGTAGAGAAATTACCAGGCTCAAGAGCTATTTAGGAAGTAGAACTGATACAACTTAATGACCGATTGAAAGGTGCGGGGTAGAGGGATCCAGGGCGCCTGGGTGGCTCAGTCGTTAAGCGTCTGACTTCAGCTCAGGTCATGATCCCAGGGTCCTGGGATCGAGTCTCACATCGGGCTCCCTGCTCGGCAGGAAGCCTGCTTCTCCCTCTCCCACTCCCCCTGCTTGTGTTCCTGCTCTCGCTGTCTCTCTCTCTGTCAAATAAATAAAATCTTTAAAAAAAAAAAAAAAGAAAGAGGGATCCAGAATGATTCTGATTTGTGCAATGAGATTAAGAAAGGCGCTGTCCATTAAGGCAAAGAATACAGGAGGAAGAGCTGATTTCAAGGTGGGAAGAAAATGGAAGAATCACGTTCCCAGAGCTTCTTGGTATCTTTAGTCCTCTTGGAGCCTAGGAAGAAGTTTTGAAAATTTCTTATTTAGGTTGTCGTAGCCAAAAGGAAGAGAATGACTTGGCCAAGGAGAACACAAGGGCACTAGGGGTGGAACCCTCAGAAATAGTAGTATATGGTGGTAGTTCCTAAACCTGCCTAAATAACTCAAGTGCTATTAAAAAGAGATTCCATGTTAAGGAGGAGGAAATTTTAACAGCATCGGCTATTACAGAGGAGACAGTTAAGGACAGAAGATCCACTGGATTAGCCCATTGATTCTCAAAGTGTGGCCCCCAGCTCTAGGATCAGCACCGCCTGGGAAGTTGTTTAAAATGCAAATTATTGGCCCCATTCTACAGCAATTATTGGCCCCATTCTACAGCTCCAGGGTCTGAGACTCTGGTGGTGGGGCCCAGCAGATTGTGCTTTCATTTGCCTGCAAGTGGGTTTGAGGCACACTCAAGTTTGGGAACCAGATCTTAGCAGATGAGTAGTGGTGACTGATGGAAACCGCATTGCCCTGTATGATTCAAACGAGTTACTTCATCTCTCTGAGCCATGTTTGTTTTCCTGCAAGGATAATACCATGTTGCACTATTGTGATGCTTAGAGATACCAGTAGGGGTGTTTTTTTTGCTTTCCTTGTTAAAAGTGAAAGGCAAGGTTGCAAAATGATAGTTATCAAGTGATGAAGTTTGGAAGTAGACTCTAAAATCATCAAGAAAACGTTGGGTTGTATTCTGTACGTTTTACTGTAAAAGGTAGGACAGTATGACAATTATTTAAATTGTCCAAAGAGTATCAGATAATAACAAATGACTAATATTAAATGGCCATCAGGTCCAGTTACCTAAAGAATGTACTTTTGTAAAGAGGTGAAGGGGATTAAGAATACACTTATTATGATGAGCACTGAGTAATCTATAGAGTTGTCAGATCACTATATTGTACACCTGAAACTAATATAACACTGTATGTTAACAATACTGGAATTAAAATAAATAAAATTTTTAAAAACAATAAATAAAATTTTTAAAAAGCATCCACTTTTGTGAAATAGTTCCTTCCTCAGGAACTTTTACCCTACTCTGTTAATATGAAACAGTATTCGGTCTAGCTAGAAGGGATGAAATTTACATATGCAGTAATTTTATTATAGTGTATATTGTAGTGTAGATCCTTAAAATGACCTAAGAAATAATATATGTAATTATAATCCTCTACCAACTGATCATTTAGTGTGGTTGGTTGTGGTGACTTTTTTTTAACTCTGAATAATCCAGAGGATACATGTTTGCGGTTTTTTGTTTTACCTTTGAATGCATTATAAGCTTTTCTGTATGATCAAATTTTAAACAATGTGAATAGGAATACTAGGACAGATGTACATTATTTAAAATATTTTGACACCTAAATTCTTAAAGGTCCCAATGGTTAGTTGTGTTATAAGTATCTTGGTCTTCACTCTTCTGTTCTCAATTTTCATTACTGTTTTCTACTGAAAGTCAAAAATATAAAATGAGCCAGTATTTACCTTTACCATTCTTTGAGTTTACGTGTTTTTGATACCAAAACATTTTTAAAGCCTATAGAATTCAGAAATCATTCACATTCTACTTTTTACTTTAGTATTGGAGGGGGCAGTTTTAGAGAAATAGTCATATGGAGATCAAGTATGTGAGTGAAGATAAAAATGTACACATTGAAAATGTTTCGTCTTTTTTCTAAATGCCTTCATTTAAGTAATTTGTCATTATCTAATGGCAGAGAAGGCAC